GTTTTGTTTTCAATGAATAGGCAGTAATGACATAGCTTGGGAGGTAGAATCCCTGCTGGTGCGACCTGTATGCAGGGCCCGGGCTGCAGCCTGTTCCGTTTCCTTCGAGTTCCTCCACAGGTAGATTCTCCATCCCTGCGCTTGCCCTCACACAGCGCCTGGGTCGCCCCGGCCCGTGCACCATGCTGGTCGCTCTTTGAACCGTGCCAGCCACGAGGGCAGTGGGGCCCACCTGCCCTGAACACTAAGGAGAGAGCCTGGAGGGTTTTCACCTTCTCTTTCAAGGGCAGCACCTTGTTTGCTTGGCGGTGGGTTGGCACAAGGCAAGACTTCGGAGGAGCCGGACTCATTTGTTAACAGAAGCCTCTGCATCCCCGGTCAGGTTTCCTGGCTGATCCAAGCAGCTAGTCAAAGTTCAGCGCCCGGGGGAGGTTCCCATTGGAAGGAGAAATGGCTGGAATCTGAGACGGGCATTGATGCAATCTTGGTTATTTACAAGGAAAGAACAAAGTCCTGCTTCTCTGAATGCAGGAGCAACCAAGACCAGAAGGAGCAGGTTCTTACAGTCCCCAACCTCTTAGCCAACAGGCCCGAAACTCTCTCTAGCTTTCCCAGGGACACATACCGTGCTCACTGGCTCCTGCTTGGCTTTCTTGCTTTTTGCCACTGCATCTCTCTCTGTTCTGTGGGTTCTCAGTTTCTGTGTGTTCTGCCTTCCTTCAGACAAACACACACACACACCTGGCCACAATACCCCCACCCACATGGTGCCACTTTCTGGACAGACTCGATTAGGCCTTGTTGTAGACGTGGCCCCTTGAAGTGTTCCTTGCAACTATCTGAAGGGTGCTTTCACCCCCCACTCTCAAAGAGGTTTGTGATCCAAGCAGTCACCAGTCCACTCAGCATAACTGTGTTTCAACTGGAACACATCTTGGTCAGGTTATTCCATAGTTGTCCATTACAGGATTTCTTGCACCTTCCTCTGAAGCAGCAGGCGCTGGGTGCTGTCAGAGCCAAGACCCTGGGTTAGATGAACCTGCGTCCCAATGATGGCAAACTTGACAACGAATGATGGTGAGACCACCTAGAAAAGACCTTCTGAAAAACTACAGAGAGGCAGTATTGTTTAGATGTCAGAACATGGGGCCAGAAGACAGCACTCCTGGGTTCTGATCCTTTGCTTGCTGCATCATCTTGGCCAATTCACGTAATCACTCTGTGCCTCAGTTTCCCAACCTGTACAATGGATGTGGTATGTTTGGAACCTGTTTTGAGATCTTCAAGCGGAAGGAATGATCGAAACTGGGAAAGCAGGAATGACCAATGGAGACAGACATGTCATAATAAACAGCAGATTTGACCTGAATTTACAACATGGTCTGGCTGAAATAAAGGCCAGACGAAGGAAGGCGATAGACTCTGTCCATACAGCTGTGGTGCGAGCGCTCCTGGAATGTAACGTTCAGTTTAGGTACTGACAAATGGAAGTGAGTTTGGAGCAGAGCGACGCAAGTGATGTGGGGATTGGGATCTGAGCAGCGATCGACAGAGCAGGGCATGTGCCATCTGGCGAAGTGATCGCTAAGGGGAAAGGTAACAGCTGATGTAGGCTGTTAGCCCCCAGGCAGGAGAGTTGCTCGACGTGGCGCATGCTGCTACGAGCACGAGAAGTGAGAGGAAGTTCAGGAAAGGAGAATTTCAGCTGAATGGCAGGGGAGCCTTCCCGACCGGCCCTTTGGGATAGTCTCCCAAGGGACAAAACTGGTGAAACACTGGTGAAGTCTGCAGGGAACAGCTCTGTGTGGGCAGTGCCATGGCTGGACGGCTCCAAGGGTACGTCTACACAGCAATTAAACACCCGCAGTTGGCCCGGGTCAGCCCACTTGGGTTCACGGGGCTCGGGCTGTGGGGCAGTAAAATTGCCGTGTAGATGTTCGGGCTCAGACTGGGGCTCTGGGACCCTGCGAGGTCCAGCTTCCAGCTACATATCACCAGCTTCCTTTACCTCCTGGCCTCTCCAGCTCACTGGCCCTGTCTCTAACATTGCTCAAGTCTCCGCCACCGCCTTCCTGTTCAGCTCCTCACTCAAAAACCCTGGGGCCACCTGAGTTCTCGGGCACTCCGCTAACTCTGAAGGGGTTTACAGGAATGCGCCGGGTGCCTTGTCCTCCAGGACAGTTACTCCACTTGGCTGCATGCACCTTCTGGCCAAGCGGCTGCTGGGCTTTCCCAGGCAATCGGCAGCCCCCATCACTTCCTAGCGTGGCTGCCGAGTGAACGCACCGACCAGTACAAGATCTGCGGGACCATCTGTTTCCTCGCTCTGTAGGCCCGAGGTTCTGAGCCCTCTCAACGAAGCTGTTGACTGGGAGTAAGATGGGGAGCAATGTGCCCAGATAAAGTGGGGTGACTGAGCTGGGCGGGGGGGCACCTTCCTCTTTGAGACCCTGTCCAATCAGACAAGGAGGCTTGGCGGATGGTCTGTAGGGTCCGTCTCAGCACAAGGACGTGCTCTCCATGAGATATCATCTCCCTAAGGCTTTAGGGCTTCAAGCCCAGGCCCAGGGGCGGTGAAGCGAGCAGCAGCATCTCCAGGAAGTTTTCCTGCTGACTCAGCCTCTGGTGCCAGAGGGGGCCTAGGCTGGAGTGGGATCGGGGCCACCCTTTGACACGGGGCCGACCTGGGTGGACGCAATGAGAACATGGCACCTGCCCTTGCCCTGCCCCTCGAGGTAGGGACTCTGCTCCCGCACTAGGCTCCCCAGCTCCTTATGCCGATGGTGCCCAAGGGCTGAGCGGGGCGCAGGCTTGGCGGGGGGACAGAGTCTCCTTGCACCTTGTGCAGTATCAGCGTCTCCCTTACAACTTCCTCAGGCGGCCTTACCAGACCCTGCTGGGGCTGGAGTCAGCTGTGAAACCCCAGTGGGCTTCGCTGGAGGAAAAGCATCAAGTCCACAAACTCAAAGGGCCAAACCCTGGTTCAGACAAAATCGCCACTGACTTCAGTGAGAGGTTGGCCACACCCAGGGTTTGGCCCGAAAACTTCACCCAAGATCATACACAGATGCAAATTATTCTACCAGCTGAGCCCAGGCTAGGAAACGGTCTGGTCGGATCTGGCTGCCTGATAGGCCAACGCGTTAAAGGGGTAAAAGAATCCCAGGCAGCGCCAGGCTCCCTCGCTGGAATTTGAAGAGTGTTTTGGCAGGTGACGTTTCCCGTTACTCTTGGTCAGCAGCTTCAGAGCCTGACTGGCACTGTGGCCTCAGTGACCCCAATGACAAAACTTCCACTAACTTCAGTGGGGCCAGAACCCCAGGCAATGAGGAACTGGGCCTGTCTTAGGGCTTGAGCGTTGGGTGTTGGGTTCATAACCACAAGCAGTTACTCAAATGTCAGGCCGGTGGAGAGAAGAACACCAGGAAGCCAGGTCACGGGGGCCGATGGTTAAGATAATGAAAAACAGCAAAAGTAAAGTCTCGCACCAACAGTTTCAAACCTGTGAAGCTACATCTTAGACACCTAAATACATACTTCATGTATATTCTAAATATAATTGGTCAGGCTTTCTGCAGAGCTAAGCACCCAGCACTCCCACTGAGAATGGGTTTGGTCCCTCTGGAAATCAGCCCACTCTCAGATAAGCTGCCTGTAAATGTATTCAGGGGCCTGCCTGTGATTGGAAACACTGGTCTTTTATCATCGGTGGGTCCCAAAGCATATTACAAGGTGGGTAAGTATCATCAGCCCTGTTTTATAGATGGGGAAACTGAGGCACGCGAAGGGCTCCTCATAGTGCTAAGGTCTCAGGGCACCAGGGAGCTGAGGCAGGACATGTCCATGATTTGGCAGCACTTCTAGGCCCACAGCTAGAGGCCTCCGCACAATAGTGACTTGCACAGTGCATCGCACCCTGTGGAGGTGGGGTTGAAATATGGGCTCAGGAGATCAGGGCAAATCCCTGGTCTTATCCCCAGGCTCGTTAATGTCCACACCAGGGAGCTGGGATCTAGCATTTAGGTCTCATCTGAGCGATTCCCACACACTCAGAGGTGCTCCAAGCCGCCGGCTCAGCGCTGGCCCCAGGGCCCGCTCCAGCAGAGGGGCGAGCAAGTGCAGGGCCGGCTCCAGGGTTTGGGCTGCCCCAAGCAGCCAAAAAAAAAAAAAAA